TTGATTGGCTGATGTCATGGTTTGATCGACGTAATTGCTGACTCAGGATAACCAATCATTTAACTGTCCCTGCTGTTGTTTCAAACTTTGATTGGAAATATCTTCACTTATTTGAACAAATTTCCAAAATTGAGAAATATTTTTTTTATTTTAATTGTAAGAAGCAACAGAATTCGAATAAAAAAAAGTCACTGAATTTGGTTAGATGGATGTCGAGATATCTTCGATCAAAGTTTTTGTAAAATTCTAAAGGTCTATCAAATATAAGCTGCGACAAAGATTGTTTTCAATCATTGATCAAAGATATCTCAGCACCTACCTGACAAAATTTCATGAACTTTTTTTTTTTTTGCTTTGATTGTAAAAAGCAGTAGAATTCAAATAAAAAAAGTTCACCGAATTTGGTCAGATGGATATCTTCGATCACAGGATGTGGAAATATCAATTCCCTTTTATAATTTCTAAAATACAATTTTTTTTTTTTTGATTTATTAAAAAACAAATAGATTTGTATATTTAAATAGACATAAATATATTGAATATATCGGCCCAAATTAGTCAATCAAGATCAGGTAAACTGGATAACTTTTTTATAATATGATCTAATTAGAGATTAGGCCCGTATAAAATTTCTTCTCCGGATAATCGACCCGTATTACAACTCAAAACCGGGTAATAATCCAGTTAACCCGGTTGACTCGATTATAATGATTATAATGATAAAATTGGTCAAGGATGCCGATTTTTTTTTTTTTTTTGGATAATGTAAAAATTTGGATTTAACCGTATAAGAATTAAATTTCATAATTCAGGCCACATTACTTGATTTTGAATTATTGACCAAAATTTCACCATTCTAAAAGTTTTCGAAATTTTGAATAGTATGAACCCAGCCAATCAGATCAATCAGATTAATAGAAATTAACTGACAACGTGACTTGTGACCAACCAAACTGCTGAATTTCGTTATCCGGTCAGCAAAATTGCTATCCGGTTAAGAGTGCTTACACGGGTCACCCGGGTAATCCTCATCCGGGCCTAATCTCTAAATCCAATTAACTACTCAATAAAAAAAATTTCTTTATTCAATTTTAATATTAATTTAACATAGTATAGTTTTTTTTTAAATATAATCCAAGCTAACCAAAGTTAACCAAAGCTAACCTAAGCATTAACATAAACTATGAGTATCGATTTCAACAATCAATTTTGTGAAAACATTACAGTGTTGTAGAATGAACGCTTTCAAGAAACCCGACAATTTCTAAATTGCCCCAAGATTTTGCTAAAATAAATTGGATTATTAATTTTATTATTAATAAATATATGTGCTGGAAGCCTTAAATAATTTTCAATTTTAAAAAAATCAGTTCAACATAAATAAATTTTTTAAAATTCCACACAGTTAACTTTGTAGAACTTAAAGAACAAGTTGCTTGTGAAATTTTTAAAATTTTGTTTCTAGTTGATAAACGATTACTGAAATAGGGCTTCTAGCGCCATATTTAATTTATAATAATTTATTTTGTAAAAACTTATAACATACCAATCTCCAAAGCACATCTCGAATGTTTATCTTTGAGGTCCACATCCACATTACATTCATTCACAAAATACTTTACGACATTTACATGTCCTTCTTTACAAGCATGATGCAAAGGAGTCCAACCATCCCATTCATCTTTTTCGTTCACATTACATCCAGCATCAACTAATACTTTAATCATATCTAGATCACCAATCATTGAAGCATTATGTATTGCTTGTCTTCCTAATTTGTCTTTATGTGTTATGGAGCAGCAATATTCTTGAATTAATTTTTTAACCATCTGAACATTGCCAGAGACTACAGCGTTTTGTAATAAAGAAGTTCCACTGTTATCCACAGATGATAATAAATAGTGCAGATTTTTTTGTGATGAGATTGAAGAGAGTAAATAAAAAACTATGTTGGGATGGTTACATAATGCAGCAGTATGAATTGGTAAACGACCAGATTTACTTGGTATTAAACATTGAGAAGGAGAAATTGAGTGTAAAAATATTACAATATCAAGATGACCTTATTTGAATATATTGATATAGGTTAATAAAAATTTTATAAACTTTAAAAGAAAGAAAATATTCAAAATTACCTTCTTTTGCAGCAAAATGAAGGCTATTCCAACCGTCTTTATTCTGAAAGTTTACATTTGCACCATGATCGACAAGAACTTTTATAATATCAAGTCTACCTTTCATTGCTAATTCAGTTTTCCATTTTATTCACCGTTAATCAAAGATCGCATCACACATTTTAGTTAATCATCTAAATATTCACCTGCGATCATTACAGGTGTCCAATCACCACGTTTCATACAGTTGACATCTACATTTTGTTCACATAAATATTTTACACATTCTAAACTGTCAATCGCCTCATGTAACGGTTGGCGTCCTATTTTTAAGACATTTATTTGTTCATAAGATTATAAATGAAAAAAAAATCAAATATGATACAGTATATAGTTATTAGTTATTATAAGTTATATAGGTTGGTACCATGTTCATTCACAGCCATGGCATTGCCACCCATATCTTGCACAAGAAAAAATAATACATCAAGTTTATGAAAACGTGCAGCAAAATGGATTAAAGTATCATTATGAATGTCAGGTGAATTTATTAATTTACGCGAGTCTTCGAGTGAAAGAGTGGCAAAGTAGGTACGTAGTGAATTTAAATCTCCTTTCTGTACTAATTTTAAGAGAGAACTCATTTTGTTTTTGTGGCTCCTTAAAATTCCGATTGGTCTAATAATAAATTATAACTTTATATAGTCATTTCCGATTGGTCAATAAAACATAGCATACCGACCCCAAAATCAGCCAATCACAATTAACATAAAAAATTTGTTATTAAAATTTATTGCAAATAAGTTATCACAAAAACGATCTTTCAAACTTACTCTGAATTCATAGTTAAGTATATATAATATATACCAACAAAATATTAACTTATTAGTTGAAGGTAAGTTAAAAGGGCCATTTTCCTGAAAATTTACTTCTTACCCATTATTCGATCGTTCAATGACAAACCAATTATTGACTATCCAATAATACCCGCGTAGTAATGGCGCTTTCTTTACAGCTTAACATAACTGGTTTTTTTCTTTTCATTTGAAGTTAAAAAAGTTTTTTTTATTAAGTATTTCGTTATTTTTCACGTGCGAAAGTTGTAAATTAAATCGGTTAATTGTCACATGATTAGTATTATTAATAAGTTACGATTGAGCACCATGCAGTGATAAGTCCATAGGGTAAACCTTGAACCGATTAAATAAAAAAGGAGAGTTGTGCGAAATATTCGATACGTAAAATGTTTTTTTTGCTGCATAATTAGTTCACGTAGAGTATTCATGTATGTCATGTGGTAATATAAAATAACAGATACGGTAAATTCTCGGAATAGCAGGCATGGGCGTTATTTCGAATTTTGGCCCGGATTATGCTCAATTCGGGCCAAAATTCGAAATAACGCCCATGCCTGCTATTTTGAGAATTTTACCGTTACTGTGTTATAATGAAAAATAATGTATTTTTTATAAAATACTATCTTCAATTCAATTGCTTTAGTATTTTTGGTCTCAACTTTCAAAGTCGACTTCTTATAATTAATTGAAGGATTCTAAATATACGATTAGATAAATCATCCATTGATACATCAAAATAAAACCTATAATTTAAATTTTACATTTCTTACTTTCATAAGACTTCATAAGTCATAACTATAATATGTTTTATATTTTCTTTTTTCAAATAAAATAATGGCTACTCTTCAAACATGAAAAGTCTAAAATTTTGTAATTTAATACGATTTTCGATATAAAGAAAAATAAAAAAATTGTGAAAAGGTATTTTTATATACGACTATAAAATGTTAGTTTAACATATATATGTATATAAAGATCGTTGGATTCGTTAGTTCGAGTAGAATCTCAACTTTCATAGAAGGATTACGTACGATTTGCTGATAAAAATCAATTGCTCGAGTAACTTATTAAAATATTTTGTGAACGTAATGTTTCACTAACAATATCACCTTTTCTAGCCTCGAAAGAACGTCTATATTTTACCGTACAAAATAATCAAAAATAATCACTTAGAGGCAAAGATTTCGTTATTTATTATTATTGTATTATCTACTGTATGCATATATGAACGCAAAACTGCTGAATAAAAAGAATGACCAAGACGTTTAAGGTGAGTTTAGATTCTGAAAAAAACAAGCTGTTTAATTAACGGTAATTAAATAAATTCGCTGATATAAAGTTTTGCCCGCTCTATGAATTTAATGTTTTCCTATGAACTTCAACCAACAGAAGGGTGCAGTCCAAATTTCCGGAAATGGCCAGCGTTATGCAGAATTATGCAGATCACGATCATTCTGGAAAACCAAAATGAAAATACGTAAAATATATGAAAAACAACAGTCTAAACCTATATAGAAATATGACAGGCATTACAGCAATATGGTTCGCGATTTTTGCAGTGTTCCAAGATTTTATGCATTATTGTAAAATACTATATATAATAAATATATAATTACGATGACGGCTATACAGTATGTGCATATATTAATATAACCTAATGGTGCGCAACCATCTTGCACTGTTAGCAAAAAGTATAGAGGCCCCAAAATTTTAGCGTAACGATAAGCCAATTTCAGCATAAGATACTGTACCACATATATAATTTTTAAATTTTTTTATCGAAAGGAAATTTTTAATGTTGATCTCTGCAATAGCAATAAATTTGGTTAAGAATTTTTTTCACATTGCAAACAGTCAAACCTCCCTAAATGCAATTCGTAGGGTCCAAAAACAATAAGAAAATTGCATTTTTAATAGGGATCTAGTATACATCAAATACGGTAAAGATAGTCGTACCAAATTATAAAGCGTCTTCCAGATAACAAATACGCAACTTTATAAATACAAATTATTTTTCATAATTATGAATTTCACGAATATTGCCACGAATATTGCAAATACTGCTATTGCAAATTTTACAATCTCTAATATATTCAATGCGATAAAAACTTTAGCTGAAGAAGCAACTCAAATTTATGTGAATGCGGAATGTAATAAAGAAACTAGTCTATTAATTATGAATCGAGTAAAAAATGCAGAATCAGTCATGAGAAATAATGAAGAAAGATTTAGTCAAGGAGAATACAATGAAAAACTTGAACGTCTTAAAAATGTTTTGACAAAAATTAAAGAATATTGTGAGAAAGTGTCAAAACTTAAAGGCTTTAACCAATTTACTAACGCAAAAGAAGTTAAAATTAAATATGAACAATTAACAGAAGAATATGATACCTGTATGATACAACTACTACAATCTGCTAATTACATCGCAAATAATGACACTAAAAAGGATGAGTCTCAAAAAGTCGATAAAGATCTAGAAGAAACTGAAAACGTATGTCATGAAATATAATGCTAATCTATGTTGTCTTTATTTTTAATACGTATACGTATATATATTCCCTATGTATATTATTACCTATTTTAGACTCTTAAGGATTTTGAAAAGCTTGATATGTTGGCTCGAAAAGTAGACGATATACAATCTCAAATAGCTAAACAACCAAGCGATATCCATGTGAAAAATATTAGTCCAAATGAATTAACTGACTCTCCTGCTCCACCAAAAAAAATTATTCCTAATAATACTATTAAAAAGGTTTATGGTACAATAGAAGTCGAATGCAAAGATTTCAAAGATTTTCAAGATTCTGAAAATTTCCGAGGCCATTTAGCAATACTTGAAAAATTAGATTCACCATACATTCGCCGTTTTTACGGTCTTTCATATGTTGATACCCGGAAGGTTATGGTTTTTGATTGGGCTGAATATGGATCTTTAGAAGATCTTTATAATGCTTATAATATTCCTTGGACAAGGAAAATACAAATTATAAGAGATATTTGTCGTGGTCTTGTTTTTTTGCGCAATGTAAATATTTTGCATCATGATCTTAGATGCGAAAATATTTTAGTAAGTATTATCATATATATACATATATATATTATACATTACGATTTCAAAACTATTAATTAACAGTTGGGCTGTAGGTACTTCATAATTTGGACCCAAAACTTGGAAATTTCAGATATGCACGTACGGTAGAAGATAAAACTGTAAATATTTCAAGTTTAACAACGAGGATTTTTCGTTGGATGGCACCTGAGCTATTAATGAAATATGTAGGAAAAAAATATGCTGAAAAAGTTTATACGTTCAATTGCGAAATGTTTAGGTATTTATCATTTAATCTAATTAAAAATTCATTTTTAATTATATTATTTTTTAATGATTAATCTCTGTAATTAGTTTTGCAATGTTAATTTGGGAACTTTGTTATGAAAAGTTACCTTATAAAGATTTGGAGTTTAAAAAAATTCCTGATCATGTTTTAAGTGGTAATCGAGAAAACCTTCCATATGGAAAATTTGATAATCCTGATGATGTTAAAATTCAAAGTGAACTTATTGAAATTATCAAAAATGGTAATGTTAAATAAATTAATAGTGTGCTTTTTCATATGTTTATTGTAATTATCTTTGACTTTTTTATTTTAATTGACAATAGCATGGCAGCAAAGACCACAAGACAGGATAATAATTACAAAATTATATACAAAACTTGAAGAATTAGCTGTGCAATATCCAATTTTACCAGAAGAGCCTAAACTTTTAAAAAATGGGACATTAGATCTTGAAGGAGAGGATTCAGATACAGACTTGATGGATATTGAAAAAAATAATGAAGAATTAGAAAGTAGCAACTATGGTGATGATAATAATGATAATAAAAATGATATAAAGAGCAAAAAACGTGCGAGCTCTCCTCCTGTTAAACCATTTCAACCAAAAAGACAAAAATAAAATCATAATAGTTATACTATCATTCAATTATTAATAATCGTTAATTATATATTGCATATCAAAAAAAAAAAAAAAGAAATCGATGATTTCTGATTCTGATTGCCGATTTCTTTAACATTTTTTTTTCAGGAATAAAAGTTGTAGAATCATAATTTGATTTAGCATCTTTTGTAGGAATATAATTTGCATATTCATCATGTTGTAAAGAACTTGATTGCGTAATATTAAATTTTATCTCTTTTCTAGCCCGATAAAATTTACTGCAAGAAGAAAATTTTTAAGTTGCGCCAAATTCGATCTTATAAGAATTATTACATGATACTAGAAAATTAATTTGTTTATTCCTGATAGAATCATGGAATTTTAAAGTAAAAACATAAGGAACTTTAGTATATTTTTTATTGGAATATATATTACAATAGAATTTAGAAGTAGACACTTTGTGCATCCAAAGCATGTTCCGGAATAATAATTTTTGTCATTATAAATGATTTTTTTTTTTAAAAAAAAAGTATGTTAAATAAATATATATTATATAATAATATTAGTTGATATACATAAGTAATCAGAAGTAATGTTAAAGAATTATATGCGCATCTGATATAAACAATTATGTAATGCACGCGATTTTTAAATTTTCACTATGTGAATTGCATCACGCCAGGTACTCGCGTCCATATTTTACAGTAAATATATCTACACAAGTAATTTTTACCGACGACAGGACTATATAATTTAATTTTTAATTCTTCCCAAGTTTCTGATTCACATGGCGTGACAGGCGAATAACATAAGGATTGATAAACGTCATCAACCTATCTCAA